ACGTTTTCGGCGTTATTTTCGCCCGTGTCCGTACGTTTCGTCCGAGCGTTTAGCTCGCAAAGCGCTAATTTTATTCCGCCGTCACGCGGTACCGCTTGTATTCGGTCGTTTACGCGCGTTAATCGAATATCCGTCGAATAGAAATAAAACACTTATGTACCGGTAGGTAAAACGATAAATTTCTTCTACGATTGTAGCGACCCGGTAGGTAGGCGGGTTAGGTTTGCTAGACTCTTCCTCCACCTCCCACTCCCCGATTATGTTTACCATATGGTCGGTGGCGGTTTTAGGAGCTAAATAGGCTACGGCCCATGGCGGGGTTTTTTTTTTTTTTTTTATTTTCAATATAAACACAAATAAAAATTATTTTAAAAAGTTATTTTCTAAAAATATACCAATCAATTGTTATTTTCGGAAAAGTTATCAATAATAGTGTTCACTTTGTCATTAGACCACTACCCGCGTGTATGCATCTGGATCACAGCAACACTGCCTACGACCGGCGACCGTCCGCGATCATCCGCGTTCTAATTACTGATAATATTATGTCCAATAAAAGCAAAAAAATAAATATTCAATTTATCACATTAAAATTAGTTAATTGAATTTCAATGTTGGCACTTGACGAATGGCTGGATGGCTGTTTAAATCGTAATAAAGTACTATAATTACTTATCTACTTATTCATTATTACATTTTCCCTCCAGCGGGCACGCTTTTGAAAATAATACAACAATTTTGTACGTGTTCAATGTGTTCAATTGTATCTCGTTTCATTTCTTTCCTTCTTAAGTTTAAATTTAAATTTTGATTTCATCGCATGCATTACACGAGTTTATACTCGTGTAGATAGTCGTTCACTAAGAATGTAGTTACATAAAGTACATAATACCCAATTTAGTTGAAATAGAAAAAAAAGTACGATGCACAGGTAAAAACATTATTACCATTGACCAATATTATAAAACAATTTATAGCAAATATACGTATTTTACACGTATATCCATTGTGCACGTATTTCGTTAAAATATAATAGACGTCAAATGACATTTTAGTTGCAATTTAAAAAATTCAAACGGCCGCATTTTCCCTGTAAAAAGTAAGGTTTAAGAATAAAGTTACATATTGTACATAATATACTATTCAATTGAAATGATATTAGTTAAACGCAATAATAATATGTTTTACATATCGTTAGCGAAAAAAAAAATTAATAACATTATACAGTTAGATTTCTTTTATAGTAAATTATAAGGACGTTATTTCTATACAATAACCGATGACTAACTTTTAGTTATATTAATTATACCAACACAAAGGCATGTCGCCTAGTAGAACATTGTCCACGAATCTTCTTTGGTTATAATTGATGCCGGCTTTATAGAAAATAAATAACTGAATTAATTCGTATTAGATCAGATCTGAGTTTTAATAATTCGATTAGTAAATACTTACATTTTATAAATTACAAGCGATTCTGAATGAAGCCTTTGGATTAAACTGTACGCGAGCAACAACGTCCCGAGGAGTAGATCTCTCTTCCAAAGGTAATAGAATTTGGGATATTGAGATTGGATAAGGGCCTGGGTTTCGCTTGGTGAAATTATAGAAATATCAAATTCAGTAGGAGGGTAGTGTCTTTAGTTGCTACGTGATTCCATGCAGTATATGATTTTGAGATTAGAGGTTAAGAAGTGCGAATGGTCTAGGCTAATCTGATTAGGGCTAGGCGGTTAGTTTATTTTCAAAATAAAATTATACATTGATAAATCAAGCATAATATTTTTATAAAAACCTAATTAATTTCCAAGTATGTTTTATTATCTTTAATCAACGACAGGTAAAAAGACAGCGAGAATAAATAAATGACAATGGAAAAGGATCAAAATTGAATCAAATCAGAAGCAAATAAAGAAACAATCCAATGATTTTTCGAAGAAGCAAACGACTCAAAAGAAGGGTTTAAGCACATACTAATCCTATGTTAAAATATGAGAATGGAATGAACAATCCATCGAAGAGAAGTAACAGACAAACTTAACAACACCGTTGTGGATATATTAAAACCCCGGAACTATTCGTCGATTCGACGATGAAGGTTAATTTAATAGTGACACCATCTCTATTTAGTTCATCGATTCGACGTATTGTTATAAATAAAGGGTAAGTTTTAAGTATGATAAAATACTTAGTAAATAATTTTTCCGAAGCATCATAATATTTATATTTTTTTTATTTTAAAAATAGCATGAGAAATGGATAATGAAGTAATGTGTTAACTTGAAAAAAAATTAATTAGAAAGACAATGAAATTAAGGACAAAGAATTAAACATTTTGAGAAGGACGACAGCGATGCTGATAGTTATCAACCAGCGAATCAAGATGAGTACATTTCGAAATATTAACTTGGGTGTAATTCGTGCATAATGACGATTCTAAGAATGAAATTGTTAAAGGGCCAACGGTTGTAAAGAATTATAATGAGATTAAAGTTGGCGTGGACAGTTTTGATAAAATTTGCCAAAATATGAATGCAAGTAGAAAAACTAAACGTTCGCCGTAATGTATTATTTATAACATGCTAAATATAGCATCAATTTAAGCATAATATTAAGGACTAAATACAAGTTTAGTGAGCTTTAGTGAGTTTAGTTGATGAGCAAATTTCGCCATTGAAAATATCTTATATATATTTAACAAAGATCTACCGAGTAATTGTTGAGTTCAATTCATCTTACCACACGTTTAGATTTGATATTTTTTTTTAAATTTTTTTTTTTGTGTTTTTATCAGCATCTATAAATCGATCATCTCGGCCACGTAATGATTTACCCGTAACTTAACATGGTTAGTTAAAAATATAATCTGCCATTATGTAATTACATATCAATGCGATTTGAATGTGAAGTTAATCGAAAATCAGTGAAATACATCACGCGAGACGATACACAGGTAAACACACATTATTACCATTTACAAATGTTCGAAAAGTATCTATAGCAAATATGCATATTTTACGCGCATATTTATTGGAAATGACGCAATACGGCACACATATCGTTTAAGTAATACAGACATATCAAATGACATCTTAGTTGCAATTTATAAAATTAAAACGGCTGAAAAAATTAACGTTTAAAATTATAGTTACACAAAGTACATAATATACAATTAAGTTAAAATAAAATAATTTAAAAGTTATAATAATATGTTTTACATTCCTATATTTTATTTCGTCTAATAGTAATACAAATAATACAATTGGGCAGATCGACTTTTTTTTGCAGTACATTACATAGACGTTCGTATTTTATAAATTATACCGGATGATTAAGTTTTAGTTATACAAATTATACCAACAATAAGACACGTTACATAGTAGAATGTTATTCACGAATCTTCTTTGGTTATTATTGATTCCGGCTCTATATAAAAAAAAAAAAATAATTGAACTAATCCGTATTAGATCAGAATTTAGTTTTAATAATTCGATTAGTAAACACTTACATTTTTCAAATTAGAAGATATTTTGAAAGAAATCCTTGAGCGCGAGCAACCGCGTCCCGATAGATAGATCTCTTCGACGGGTAATACAATTTCGGATATTGAAATTGGATTCTCTTGGCGAAATTGCGAAATTATGGCAATATCATATTTCAATATGAGGGCGGTAAGTTTAGATGCTGCAGTATTATATGCAGTGTATGATTTTTAGATTAGATATTTTGAAGTTTGGGTGGACGTACATCAGATTAGTGCTAAACGGTTACTTTATTTTCGAAATAAAATTGTAGATTTATCAATCAGACCTTATTATTATTCAATTATGCTGTATTATCTTTAAACAACGACAGACCAAAAAGATAACGAGAATAAATAAATGACAATAGAAAAGAACCAACGTGAAACCAATCAGAAGCAAATACAGAAACAATCCAATAGTTTTTTCAAAGAAGTAAATGACTTTAAAGTAGGATTTCAACAGATTGTAATCCTACAGTAAAACATGAGAATGGAATATGAATAACACATCGAAGTGAAGTGATTGACAATTCTAACAACACCGTTGTAGATATATTAAAACCCTGCATAATAACGATTCTATGAATGAATTTACTAAAAAGCCAACAGTTGTAATGAATTATAATGTGATAAGTGTTGGGGTAGAAAATATTGACCAAATGTGCCGAACTATGAATGCAAGTAGAAATACTAATACGTTAGCCATTGCGCATTATTTATTACATGATAAATATAGCATTAATAAGCATGAGTACGAAATATTTACCAAAACAGGAAAGACCCTGTAAATATTCCAGTTTATGATACGTTCGTGAGAACAGTTGGTTTAGGACTTAATGAAATCTAATATATCTAATATAACTAATATAACATTTTGATTAAATTACCGTTTATTATAATTTTTTTTTTTTAAATTCGATTAAAATTGTTTTTTAAAAAGTGTATAGATAAACTATTCAAAATAAATAATAAAGAAGAAGAAAACAATTTCTTTAATTCAAACATATTTAAGTACATTTATATTTTATTCGTCCATTTAATTAAGGGTTAGTAATTAAGGACTAAATACAAGTTCAGTGTTTTAGGGTTTTAAAAAATAAAGGTCAGAAATTAATTAGAAACAAATAAATTATAATTTTTAAGTAGATAACAAATCAAGATATATATGAACCAACAAATAAATGGGTAGACGTTACATTTGGAGTGCTCAAAAATGGAAAAATCTCCGATGAACGAAGCGATACTTTTTAGAATTTTTTCCTAAGGATGCCAAGTGATAGTACAACAAAAAGAAAACTTATATACAATATCTGGAGGCATAAAACACTGCCAAAAAAAGAGAATATTTCCCTACAAATTGGTATACAGATGTATTATTACGTAATTAAAACATATTTTATCTTATTTAATCGAATATCATTGAACGCTTTATCAAATAACCTTAACGGGACTAAAGGGAAAGTATAGGATTGTGGAATCACAAAAAATCATAGATATTGCCACAATTGAATACATTCTTCCAAGGTATTATTACAGGATGTTGGATTTCTGTTTCTCCATACGGTGAGCTGATATGTGCAGAACCTAAAAATATCAACAGTATAATAGAAAACTGTACAAAAAATTAAGAATTTCTTGTAGTTAAGAAGTTATAACATTTATAATATTTTCTGCTTTTTTTTTGTTAATATTAAGACCTAACTAAATCTGTAATTTCCATATACGCAAATAAAAAATTGGACTATATATTACAATAATACATGTTATTCTCAGGTGTTATCACGGTATAATATCGCGGTTTTAACGATTCGGCATCGTTTGGAAACAGAAAATAACGTTAAAAAAAAATGTGTCCTTTTACTTTTCTTTTTTGCTCCAAGTCGTTTTTATATAATTATAAAAAAATATAAAACGACATTATAAATGTACGTATTAAAAAGCTCTAAAATGTATAATTTTTTCTACGTTTTTATGTTTTTTAATGATAGGACTTATGTAAAATTGTATGCACCTTATACGCAAATTAATAATTGGATTAAATATTACCATAATACATGTTATTCCCAGATGTTATTCTAGGGTGCTGCATTTCTGTTGCTCGGTACGGTGAGGTATTGTTTGCAGAATCTAAAAATATCAAAAGTGTTATATAAAGTTATACAAAATATGAGGAATTTTTTGTATGGTATATAGATAATAAAATATTTTGAGGAACCATTTGTCTTTTAAGGTTTTACCTATTATTCATTGTTTGGAAGGAGAAAAAAAGGAAAGAAAATGTATCTTTTTAAGTTTTTTTTTTGCTCCATTTCGTTTATTATAATTATAAAAAATATAAAACGACATTATAAATATACGTAGTCAAGAAGTTATAACAGTTATAATATTTTCTGCTATTTTATTTTTCTTATGTATTANTAATATAGAAAGCTATAAAAAATATGAGGAATTTTTTGTATGGTACATAGATAATAAAATATTTTGAGGAACCATTTGTCTTTCGCGGTTTTACCTATTATTCATTGTTTGGAAGGAGAAAAAAAGGAAAGAAAGTGTATCTTTTTAAGTTTCTTTTTTGCTCCATTTCGTTTGTTATAATAATAAAAAAAATATAAAACGAAATTATAAATGTACGTAGTTAAGAAGTTATAACAGTTATAATATTTTCTGCTATTTTATTTTTCTTGTGTATTAGGATCTAACTAAATCTGTATTTTCCATATACGTAAATAAATAATTGGATAAAATATTACCATAATACATGTTATTCCCAGGTGTTATTCTAGGATGCTGCATTTCTGTTGCTCGGTACGGTGAGGTATTGTTTGCAGAATCTAAAAATATCAAAAATAGTATAGAAAGCTGTACAAACAAATTAATAATTTATTGTATGATACATAGATAATGCATTTTTTTGAAGAACCATTCGTCTTTCACGGTTTTACCTATTATTCACCGTTTGGAACGAGAAAAAAATTTAAAGAAAACTATGCTTTCTTTGCTAAATTTCATTTGTCCTAATTATATTGTATTTTCAACCCCGTTATACGCAAATAAACAATTGAATATTACATTACCACGATACAACGTGTTGTTCCTATCGGTTGTTATTCCGGATTTTCGAACTTCTGTGAGTCTGTTCGGTGATTCAACATTTTGATTACCTAAAATATCATGAGTAATATATAAAATATAAAATATCGATTGACATATTAAGGTTTCTGTAATCGGGCCTTACATTACTTATGCAAAAAACATGTTTGTTTTATCTAATAAATCTAGACCTATTAATTTTTAAATCACCTTCCGGTTCGGCGGTTTCTGCATTGACAAGAGATTTGTTATTTGAGTTTTTCGTCAAGCGATCCGCCTTCCTTTGTGCCAATGACACATAAATAATATTATTATTTATCACGCTCCGGTTCTTTTGTGCCATTGCGTTGCTCGCTTGTTCTGCTGTTTCAAAATGAACAAATCCGACGCCCTTGCTTCGCCCGTTTTCTTTCATCACCTTATAGTGTGCAATAATTTTAGTCATTTACTTAAAAATTTTTGAATTAGGACATTGTAGGTAAAAATAAAAAATAATTTATTACTATCGCCCTCGTGACAACTCCAAATGCACTAAATTCATGTTTCAATCGTTCGTCCGTTACTGTACCGTCTAAGTTTCTTATATATAAATTAACCTTGTTCGACGGTTCTACTCTTTCAGTGTTTTCGAACGTTTTGAGAGGCGTGTCTTTACTTCCGTATTTCTGATGAGCGCACGACACATAGTAATTCTAAAATATTTAGTTATGATATGTGACAATAATTTTGTTAAAACATATAATGTATTATAATATATTAACCTCTCCGGATGGACTCGGTTTGCCGTTTAATTCTTCCACAGCCTTTTTGGCATCGTCGGGTTTTTGGAAGTTTACAAATCCAAATCGTTTAGAATCACCATTTTCTTTGCGGACTACCTATCAGTTTAAAATTATGAACGTACCGTTACACCAAATAATTTGTGAGTCAAATAACAGCAATGACGTAAGTTAATAATAACACACCTTTACACTGGTGATTTCACCATACACCTCAAACATGTCGTACAAATCGGTGCCATTAAATTCTTCCGATAGGTTACTAATGTGTACATTCGTAAATTTTCCTTGATCCGTTATGTTATTCTGTCGATCTTCTTTTGAGTTAGATTTACTGATATATATCGCCTGTCCATGAATGCAAATACCGTTTAATTTGTTTACACATTCTTCCGCGTCTTTTTCTTTCCAAAAATGGATGTACCCGTATCCCTTTGATACGCCTAGTTTGTCATAAGCTACCTAGATAGATTATAACTATAACGCATTAAACGAAATTGCACGCTTAAAAGGAATTAAATATTAACTTTATTCTATTCTTTTTAATTAAATAAATCTCTGAAATCAATATTTTCTATTATGTTTAAGTTAAAATTATTACCATTATTTGAGCACAATTATTGAACACAATCACTTACTTGGCAACTGATTAATTCACCGAATGCTATAAAAGTGTCGTAAAGGCACTTCGCGTCAATTTCTGGTTTTAAACCGCTAATGTACAAATTCGCATTTTGACATTTTTGTACGGCCGGATCGTGCCACGACCACGCGATTTCTATAGGTTTTCCATTCAATTGGCTGCAATTTATGGTTTCTATTGCTCGACTAGCTAGAATGAAAATACGAATTTAACGACGGGTTTTCTATTGAATGTACACTTATAGAGAATCTACGTCATATTATAAAAATAAGTAGGTATTTAACGATTTTCGTAGCGTCCCGTGCACTTTTTCACCTGTTCGCGCACGTAATTAACACGTATAATGAATTGTACGCGGGGGTGAATCGTATTTCGCCTTGGACAGAAATGAAAATAAAAAAAAAAAAGCTTACCATCGGTTGACGTTTCGAAAGTAACATAACCGTAGCCGAGTGAACGGCCAGTGCGAACATCTTTAGATAACCTGATGGAAGAAATTTCGCCAATCGGCCCGAATAAGGCCCGAAGGTCGCTTAAGGTGACCGTGTTGGACAGATTTCCGATAAACAGAGACTTTGCCATTGAGACGGAATAACAAAAATGTATTAAAAAAGTTGAAAATGTATTTTCGATCTAATCGAACAAAGTACGAATATGCAATACTTATTTCGTTTAAATACAAACAAATTATATTACTGAAATATAAATAAATATTATAAACTGTTCGTAGTTTTATACCCACGTATTTGTTTATTTGCCGTTTCCACGTTGTTGGAGTTTGTAGCCACGATAAAATTATTATAATTCTGTATTCCCAAATAATCGTATTTCCGAAGTTCAAAATCGTTTTTTGCACGCTGCCGTGATAAATACTGTTGCATTCCAAGCGAACGTTATTAGTAGTATATTTTCATTAGATGCCTTTCGCCTTCCGTTATTTGCCGCTCTATTTTATACGGCACGGTTATCTTGTGATTTCTTCCGAACTGGCGAAATTATTGCGGGCAAGATATTCAGGAATGACCTAATTGTATTATATTAACATTTTAATATTGGTCCGATGTAACTTTTTAGTTTTGGTGTTTTTTGTTTAACGTTATTTTAATTCAGTTCGAAGAAACAATTGAAAAATTATTCATTTTTATTTGAAATCTATACCAGTATTTTTGCCTATGTTTTATTTGTTAGCTATATAATTTTAAATTTTAAATAATTCAACATTACTGCTTTGCAATATACCGATGATAAAATGGGCGTATATGCAAAAACCAATGGTATTGGAAAAGTAATTATCAAATTTTTAAACAAAAACATATTTTAAAAAAATTCGGATATACTTCTCATGTGGGTGGGCCACTGTGGTATATGAGTAGTTTGAAAGGTAGAGGCGAAATTTGTGTACATAATCTGGATGCAACCACTAACTACTGCTAACGAAAAATGATTCTGAGTAGAGTTCGGTTCAAAGCGTCGCTTTGTCAACAACATAATATTTTTTTCATATTGTATATTTTTTTTATAATATTGTGTCTATTTTCCCGTTTTTGTTACATTTTTTCCGTGTTTTTCCCGGCTTATCCCATTTGTTAATGTACCTGCTGAGAAAATAAATGAATGATCCATAATGTACCACCCCTTTTAGATTTTCTCTCAGAAAAAGGGTTATAATTGTAAAATCGGAATGAAATTGCCGGTAAAAAGGTTGCCTACAGAAAAAAATTGCAAAACCTATAACAATCCTCGCTTCTCTCAGAATCTATACATATTTGGATTTTGTCTGCTATTTTAGTGCAGCATCATATATCGCGGTGAGTTGCATTGTATCTTCCATTCCATTATTTAATTGATGTTATATTTATTAGCATAATTCCACAATCGAATTCCATGTATGTGTAAATGATTTGTTTTAATAGCTTTATTTAAACATAGTATACGTTTTATGAATGGTTTTTATTTTAATTTTTTTTTTTAATTTAATTTTTATTATTATTATTATAAACTCCTAGTAAAGTTGTTATAATTTTCAGATTGCAATTCAGGTTTTCAACTGGAATACTTACTTCGATCGAAAACGTCATGAAAATTAAAATCAAATAAAATTTTAACGTCGCAAATATTTTTCTGTTTTTCTTAAAAGTTTTTTGCGGATGATTATGAAAATCACATGGAAAATCACATCAAATATTTATCTCCTTGGTACACCGAAAAGATAAATGAAGTATAAAACGGTACAAAACAATCAAACATACTTCCCGCTATGGGTGGGCCACTGTTGTAGGTGAGAACTTAGGAATGTAGACGGGAAATGTTATGTATATCTGTACGCAACAATTAATCATTACTAACGAAAAAAAATTCTGATTGGAATCCGGTTTATATATTTTTTGAAAGGCCGTAGTATTTACGTATCGAAAATAATACGTTTCGTGAATTTTTCCGTTTTTCTAAGTTTATTCCTATTTATTATGAAATCCCTAGGAAAATCAAAAAATTACCACCTCAAAATTCGTCAGAATATATTTTAAATATTTTACTACGCCTGGAATAGGTAAATATTTAAGCCTCTACAATTATTTTTACTCGAGTTTAAACAAAATAATTATGGAAAATCCTGAAAAAAGCTTTATTTTTTGCTACGAGCTACCTAGATAGATTAAAACTATAACGCATTAAACAAAATCACACACCCGTATACTCTAAAGGAATTCAATTATTTAATTTATTTTATTCTATTTAATTAAATTTATCTCTGAAATTAATATCTTGTAATATGTTTAAATTAACATTGTTACCATTATTTGAGTTTATTAATAAACCCAATCATTTACTCTGTAACTTATTAAATTACCGAATGCTATAAAAGCTTCATAAAGGCACTTCGCGTTAATTTCTGGTTTTAAACCTTTAACGTGTAAATTCGGATTTTGACATTTTTGTATGGCCGTGTCACGCCACGACCACGTGGTTTCTATAGGTTTTCCATTTAATTGGCTGAAATTCATGGTTTCTATTGCTTGTCTAGCTAAAATGAAAATACGAATTTAACGACGGGTTGTTCCATGAAATGTTCAATTATAGAGAAACTACATCATATTATAAAAAAAAAAAAAAAAAAACGGACATACTTCACACTACGGGCGGGCCACTGGAGTAGGTAAGATTTTCGAAATGTAATGTATACAATTTAGATAGGAATTCAATCTGCCTATATCTGTGCGTGACGATTAATCTTTGCGATCGAAAAATGTTTCTGAGCGGTGCATGGTCAATGTTAATAGTGTTTGCACACTGTGCGGCTTCAGGGCAACAAAATTCATTAAAAACTTAATAATTATAAAAAATAAATAAAAACGAATGCCAGTTTTCTTTAAAATGCTGTCAATCTTTGTTATTTAAATTCCTCATTATCACGAATATTAACGAAATATTCAAAATATTGCCTGTTTAAATTACGAAATAGAGACAAAATGTATTAAAAAAAGGCGTCGTCACATGTTTTGATTGGAGCAAGATTTCTGGGTGGAATTCTATACACAATATAAAAAAGACATATATATTATTTTAAAATCAATACATTTCTCGCTTCGTTCAGCATCTAAAATAATTGAATTTTCGTTCTATTAATCTTCATAAGCGGAGGTTGCGGACTTCGAACAGTGATGTAGGTCGAACCTCGAACAGCCGGGTTTAAGGATCCTGGTAAGTGTACACTCTTATTCAAATCGATTTTTTTAATTATCTTTTTACTATTTTCTAATATTAAAATGTTCCATTAGATTTCGCTCAATAAAGATTTTAACAAGAATTTTCCCTATGACCTTCAAATACAAATAACCATTAAACGGTCGATGACTATTGTCACAATAGATAATAAATACTAATTACCATGACTACCTCATTGCTGTTGGACATAACCGACGACGAAACACGTTCTATCTACCGATATATATTTCGTAAAAAACCGCAAAGTTAATGACGCCGCTGTGAGTATCAACACTGCTTGACAACCAAACATATACTTGTTTTAAAATTATATAACTATTAATTTTTTATGTTTTAAAAACGTACAACTATGACTACCTAATTATAGGACATGAACCAAAATCGCGATTTCTTTGTAAGTTACAATATTTATATTGATCTAAACTTAATAATTTTAATAATTTTTCCAGATCACCGTTGATGTTCGCCCTAGAAATATGTAGCGTCCAGTGCACTTATTTACCGGTCCGCGCACGTAGTAAACACATACAATGGAATTACCGGACGACCGGTCATCCATCAGATTTGCACGTAGGAGGCGTCTGTGCGCTTTCGCTTTGGACAGTAATGAAAATTAAAAAAAATTAAAAAAGCTATCATCGGCTGACTTTTCAAAGTTTATGTACCCGTGGCCGAGCGGTTGGCCAGTGTTAACATCTCTACACACCCCGATGGATGAAATTTTTCCGATCGACACGAATAACTCGCGAAGGTCGTTAGAGGTGACGGCGTTTGTCAAATTTCTGACAAACAGAGACACGGCCATTGAAATGACGGCGTATACTATTGAAAAAGATATATAGGTATTGTCGATCTAATCGAAATAAAATACATATATATGTGAAACTTATTTCAATTTAATGTAAATTATATTACAGAAATATAAATAAATATTATAAACTGTTCGATGTTTATACCTACGTGTTTGTTTAGCCACGATGAAAATATTAAAATTCCGTAGTCCTAGATAATAGTATTTCCGATGTTCAAAATCGTTTGTCGCACGCCGCCGGGATAATATGTGTTGCATTCGAAGAGAACGTTGTTGGTAGAACATTTTCGTTCGATTCCTTTCGTCTTACGCTATTTTTTTTTTTTTTTTTTTACACGGCACGATTATCCCGTTATTCTACCAGGATTATTACCGAACGGCGAAATTGTTGCCGGCGAGATATTTGTCTATGATGTTGTCTAATGTAACTTTTTCAGTCGTAGATTTTTTTTTTTTTTTTTGTTATCGTGGTTTTTAATCAGATGAAAGAAAAAATTGAATGATTATTCATTTTTTATTTGATATCTATTATACGAGTATTTTGATTCATGTTTTGATTGTTGGCCATATAATATAAAAATTTAAATAATTCAACAATACTGTTCTGGACTATACAGACGATAGATGTATTTGAAAACGAATGGTATCGATAATATGTAACGGAAAAGTTATTATCAGATTTTTAATCAAAAACATATTTAAAAAAACTTACATACTTAGCCTGTGGATGGACCACTATTGTAAGTGAGAAGTCGGGAACGTAGAGGGGAAATTGTATGTACGTAATCTGTACGCAACGATTAACCACTGGTAACGAAAAATGATTCTGATCGGAGTTCGGTTAATAGTGTTGCTTTGTCAACAATATAATATTATGCCATACGTGGTCGTCCAAATAAGATATAGTACCGTTAGGACCAAGAGCGCCTATTAGGGGTTGCGAGGGCATGGCATTTCACCGTCCTTGAAAAATTATTTTGTCATTTTTTTGACAAAATGTAATGACGGTAATGACAAGAAGTCCTACGGGAGAATATACCAAGACTAG